CTGTCTCTTCATGCTCCAAAAATATAATAAGTTGCTGAATGAGTCATGCCAGATAAGTTTGCAGAAGCGGTGACCAAGGTTTTAGAAAGGAGAACTAGATGAAACCTTAAGAGAATGAGACAAAAACTCAAGCTTGGCAGCTAATCCAAGAGTTGTGTCATCAGCAAATAGAGCCATTTTAGAGATATGATTATCTGGACACTCATGAAAATAGATGAAGAACAATACAGTACCAAGGATGGAGCTTTACAGTATCCAGAAGTTACATGGAAATTAAGAAAAATCTTAAAACAGGTGATGCATAAGTTATCAGACAAAATAAAAACCTTAATATCATGTTAACAAGTAAAGAAAAGAAAAAAGCTAGTGGAAGTAAAACGGTCAAATTAAGTAAGAAAAAAAGCACTAGAGACAGATTTTTTTTGCAGTAATTTGATTCAATCATTTATCAGATGCTGTGATACCTGGCTGCCAACCACGCCACAAAAAAAAGAACTACCTTGTATTCCATACAGGGGCAAATAGGAGTTTTGTAGAGGTATGGTAGAGAATGGAATCAAGAGTAAAAAAATGAGCTTGATAAAGTAAAGCAACTTTATCAGATGCTTTATCAATTTAGCAATTGATTGTATATATGGTTTCCATGAGAGGTCAGTAGTGAACAATAATCCAAGAAGACATAAAAAAGAGAACTCAGTGTAAGGATTGCCATTCATCAATATAGAAATGTGGATAGTATTGCGATAGTTGTTGGCAGTAAATAGCTGAGTTATATTGGACTTAAAATTCACTGCAAGCCCCAATTTTTTACAAAAGTGAGATCAGATTCAAGATCCGATGCCTGTTAAGCAATCACAAAGAGAAGACTATTTGTTAAAACAGGAGTATAAATTTGAGTCATCAGCAAAAAGAAGCCACTTTAGATATAAGATTGTCAGGAAGATCATTAATGTATATAAGAAACAAAGATAGAACTTTGAGGTACCCCAGAAGTTACTAGAAATGAAGAAAAGTGTTAACCTATGAGGATGACTTTAGTACTGTGATTAGAAATAGATAGTTTAATAATCTCCCAGATATGCAATAAGAAGCAATCTTATGGTGAAGACCAGTATGCCAAACTTTGTTGAAAGCTTTAGATATGTCATGAGCAATAGCCCTAGCCTTGCTCCATCTAATGTACTATAAATTCTTTCAGTCACAGCAGTTAATAAGTCAGCCATAGAGCCAGGGGATCAAAAGCAATGTTAGGTACCTGACATATTTTTACGTCACCGTTCATAAGGCTAAAAACACTCGAATTAAGACTTGAATTTAATTAAATATATTTTATAAATTTTATTAGGCAAGAGTTTCTTTAACTACTGTAACTGTATTATGCTGATAATACAAGTACATTGCAAACCATCAAAAAAAGGGTTTACGACGTGTTTTCATGCTTGCAAACTCATATATTATGTTTTCATAACTTTATTTTCTTGCAATCTTGTTCGACAGCATTGCTAAGGAAGAAAAACGTTCATTGACCATTGTTGACCTATTTAAAGATACAAAGAAATATTGCTACATGTATTCAAGTATAATGAAGCAAAATTATTTATACTGACCTATAGAAAGTTTTAATTAATTTTAACTTGCTGAAGCTATGTTCTGCACTTGCAACAGTTACTAGTAATGTAAGAATGATTCGTAACGCAATAACTAGGTTGGGATAAGTTTTTTGCAGTTCTTCTTTGTAGATGTAGTTTAGGAAATCATGTACTGATTTTAGGAGAGTTTTTTTTCCTCCTTTATAACCATAACAAATCATTTTAACTTTATTTCCAAATTCTATATCACCAAGCTTCATTTGCAAACTTTTGCAGTATACAGACAGAGAATTTTCATTATAGGCTTTGATAAGACTCTCAGATTGGTAAAGAAAGTCATAAAGCTTTGTGACAATGCTAAACTGTTCAAAATGCTTTTTTACTGATGCAATTGACATATCAATTAATGGCAAAAAGAAATCTGCTTTATACTGATGTTCAGGTTGCCAAGTGTGATCAACACACTTGTATAAGTAAATCAAATTTTTTTTTCATGAATACACTATCGGAAAAACCTTTTCAATCCCCAATACTTCTGCAATTCCTGATGCCTTAATATGTGGTAAATCTATTTTTGAAATACTCATAAAGAAATGCATTTTTTGTCTTTATTTCACTAGCCAATATGTCAAGAGAGGTTGCAAAAGACTATAGAAGCTTACTTGATTTGTTGATTTGAAAAAAATACAGTTAATTCTATCCATTTAAAGACGCATCCAAAAGCCCTTTTCCAGTGGTATCATTTACTGTAAGATATTTAAAGAAATTTTTGGAAATGTTGATACCTACTCTATGAGTACATGTTACTGATCGCAGAATAATGCTCACTTGTTCTTTGTGCGAAATGTCTGGCGTACAATCTAAAATAGTAGAATAATATTTTGCCTTTTTACCGTAGAAAGGTTTTTGGATTCAATCTCCTTGCCTAAAAGGAGATTGAATCCAAAATCCAGTCTTATTAACTCATTCTGTGTGTAATGACACACAGAACGAGTTGATAAGACTAAGGGCAAAGAAACCAAGGAGCTTAAATAGTGCTCCTTGGTTTCTTTATCCTGAATTCTTTACATAAGCTCATTGAGAAAGTTATTGTACTTAGCCAGTAATTCAAACACTTCAAGAAAGTTTCAATTGCTCTTTGAACCAATAGCTGTGTCTGAACCACGAATTGAAAAAAAGATTTCTTGCAGAAAGAAGTAAGGTATTGTCCAGTATCCTTTCCAACATAGCCTTCCAAAATTTTATGATGCAACTTTTGTTGTTGCTCGTCTATGGTAACTTGATTTGCAAAGTCTGCATTATCAAAATTGAGAAGAAAAAAATTAAGAAAAAAAAATAAATAAAAAAAGCAATAAATTAAAAGAAATATTAGTTAACCTTTTCGTAATGTCATCCAGTGTTCAAAGCATTTGAAATAAGCACTACATATTTTGTGTTCTTTAGGTTTTTATGATAAGTCTTCCCAAGTGTTCATTCTTTGTCGGAATGGTGATGAAGTTTTCCCAAAAAGTTTGCAACAAACAATTCCTTACAAAAAAGAAAATATATAAGCACTAAAATAAAACTCAAAAAACACAAACTCAAAGCGAAAATTGCTTTTTGTAACGTTTTTAATTGCACTTAAAATGAAATACTTTAAAACTTATCTACTGAAATGTTTTATTTTAGTTACGCAAAACGCTTTTAAAAAGTACTAAAATTGAATTTTTCAAAAAAATGCAAAAAAAAAAAAAAATTATTAAAAAAGTAGTCTATTTAAAGTAGTAATTTTTAATCATTTCATGTTCCGATTAGTTAGTGAAGTTAAAAAATAATTTTAAACAATTTTTTATAAAAATAGAAACAAAAAAATAAAGCAATTAAATCCATTGCAACAGAAGATTTAGTTTAACTTATTCATAATTTAAAGTAACATTAAAAATTTTTAAAAGATTTTTTGAAAGACATGCACAAATAGTTTCAAACGTTTAATTTTATCATTAAAAATACTTGCCTACTTAAAAAGAATTAAAATATAACATTATTTGTTAATTTACAAAAACACAAAATTTATTTTAAACATTCACTATAAATAATTTTCTATTTTATTTAAAGCCTTTGCGTAAAATAAAAACTTTAGAAAAGATCACTGATTAAAAGTTATTCTCAACGTAAAAATTTTTTTAATGGCATTTAAATTGTTAAAACATCAATGTTTCATATATGTGTATACATATATAAAACAAGTTAAGCACAATACTACCCAATTATGACTTTTTACTTATAATAGTGTTTATTAATTTTCATATTTTAAAATAAAAAGATGTTATTTTTTGAGATTATTTAAAAAAACCTTTAAAAAAGCGTTTAGAGCATGTTACGTTTTAAAATATACGTAAATTATAGATTACGCTTAAAAATAAATACACTACGTGCATAAAGATAAATACACTACGTGCATAAAAATAAATACACTATGTGCTTAAAAATAAATACACTACGTGCATAAAAATAAATACACTACGTGCATAAAAATAAATACACTACGTGCATTTTTTTTAAACATAGTTAAAAGAAGTCAACTTTAATTTTAAATTAATTTTGACGCATGATTTAAAATGTTTCAAAGGGCGACTTTAAAATGTTTCAAAGATGATTTTAAAAAAGCATTTTGAGGCACATTCTCTTTTTAATTCAAAATGCAAATGTTTCTCGTAATTCAAAATGCAATGTACCATTTTTCGAAATGTATTAGTTGCATTTTAAATCAACTTGGCACATGAATCATTAATAATGTTGAACCTTTTATTTTTCATAAGTAAAATATATTTTTGTTTAAATTTTATCAAACAAAATTAACAAAAGAGTAAATAGTATTAATAATGCACATGAATTTTTTTTTTTAAATGAAGTTTTAGTAAAATAAACTATATTGAAAACTTAATGTTTTAAACATTCAACTAATTTTGTTTTGGTTGAGGAGAACAATTCTTTTTCATAAAAAGTTTAAAAAAAAGTTCTATTAAATGAGAAAAAAATTCTTTTTATAAAAGTTTCTATTCATTTGAGGCTTTTAACTTTTTTACTCCACACTATTTTCCAAACTCAATTTCACTTTTTTTTATTGATAATTTATTTCCAATTAAACAATTATTATATTATTAGTCATATTTTAATAGTAAGTCGTTTTAATTTTTTTACTTTAATTTTTTCTCTTGAGAAAAAATACCAAAAAAATTCAAAATATCGAACTACTAAATATCATAGCAGACAAATCAAGACAAATACAATATTTCCATTGCCCGCTGGGCAACCTGTAAAAAACCAGAGATTCCACCCTGTAGAGTGAGAGAGGGGAGAGAGTAAAAGAGAGAAAGAGATCTGTGTGTTGAATAAACCTTTTTATATTTTTGCTCTTTAAAATTTTTTTAGGGTTGACCTAATTGTTTTGTTAAAGTCTTTTCAATGGCTGTGCTTTCATTTGATGGATGATGACACAGAATTTTTCAATAAAGCGGGAAAGTTTAAATTATTTCATGCACTTCTCACAACTCTTACTCATATTATGGTAAAAAATTTAGTTTTAATTTCTATTGAGAGAATTTTCTATATATACATATATGTTTGTATATATATATATATATATATATATATATATATATATATATAATATATATATATATATATATATATATATATATATATATATATATATATATATATATATATATATATATATATATATATATTAGGGTGAGTCATAAAATTTTTTTTTCTTGTTACAGGCTCTAAACATTGTTACAGGCTCTAAACATTGAAAATAATAATCGTTTTATAAAAATCATATTGCCGAAAAAAATTGTTATTAAAAAACATGTAAAAATGCACCTTTTTCACTTTTAGTTAAAAAACTATAGTTATTATGCAATAAAATCTAAATTAATAATTTTTATATAAAAAAATTATTATTTTTGAAATTTTTATTAAATCTCACTTTATTTGAGCACCTACATCACATAATTTTGAAAAACTTTTTTTTTGAATAATAATAGGGCCTGCTAATTTTTGTAATTATAGTTGCGGGTGGAAGACATTCAATCCATAAAAGTAAATACTTTCCTAAATTAGTACATAAAAAAACAACTTTCTAGCCAGGTTAGCAACTCTAAAAAAAAATTTTATGACCCACCCTAATATATATATATATATATATATATATATATATATATATATATATATATATATATATATATATATATATATATATATATATATATATATATATATATATATATGTAGATATATAAATATATATATATACATATATATATATATATATATATATATATATATATATATATATATATATATATATATATCATATATATATATTATATATATATATATATATATATATATATATATATATATATATATATATATATATATATATATATATATATATATATGTATACTAGGGGTGGAAGTTTTTTTTTAAGTGACGGCCCTATAACTATCGGTGGAGTAATTACATAAAACTCATAAAAACATAAAAATAAACTATATAAACACAAAAAAACCTCTGTGCAAATCCAACTTCAGTATCTTCAGTATCAATGTTTGAAAATTTGCTTAAATAACTCATATTGTTTATTAAACAATATATAGTAGTTAAACAATGTTTAATTATTATATATTGTATATATTTAAATATAATCTGTATTTAAAATAAATTAATTTGACAAATTGATCGCCCTTCCACATTTAAAATTCCGAGAAATCATATATATGGAAATTTGATTGCATCACTGATGGGTTTTTCAAAATTTTGTTAGACAAGGCAGATATTAGGAAGATATCATTTCCTTTTAGAATTGGGTAAAATTCCAAGATCAAGTGATGTTATTAAAGAAATCTCAATTAAAGTTTGTCAATTATGGAATAAAATGATGAGACCATATTTTACTGAAAAATCTGTGCAAAGAAAAGTGAAGTCTGCTATTCAAAATTTGTTATCAAATTTTTACAAAGTACAAATAAAAAGACAATTATTATAAATAGCTGGGATATATTATTTGACTTATTGCCCGAAAATGCTAAATTTAAAAATCTGGAAGAAAAACTCTTTTATGAACTATAGAAATCTTCCCATGGGTACAATGGTCAATGCAGTATTGTGACAGAGCCTATTACAACACATCTGCAAGACCTGTCACCTAAAAGAAAAAAACTTGAAACAAATTATAGTCAATCGTTTGATGATACAGAGAATTCTAGTAGAGAAAGTTCAGAAGTTAATAGTACAAGTGATGATTACACAATTTCATTGAAATGTGCAAAGATCATTGGTAAAATGGTAGCTAAGATATCTGAAAATGAAGGGTATCCAGTAAGTTGTACGACAAAGATTGTAGAAGCTGTACTCAATGCCATTGGTGAGACATCGATTTGCAGAACTGCAGTCCAAAAAACATCTACAACACTTGTGCATAAATTTAGCTTGATTCAGTCTTATATAGACTCTTCTGAAGAAATGTGGAGCATACATTTTGATGGTAAAAGCATAGACAAACAACATTATTATAGCACTTGCATTTCGAGCAAGTCTAAATCTTTGGTAATATCTTTGAAAAAATTAGAGAAAGCAAATCTGTTTCTATTTACACCATGTTACACAATATTATTTTGGAATTTAATTTATTAAAATAAAATTTCCATTGTAATATGTGACACGACTGCAGTAAACACAGGTTCTAAAAATGAAGTAATTAAGCATTTGAGAAAAATTATTCCAGGTTTAGTGTACCACCCTTATCAACACATGTTCTTAACCTGATTCTTAACTATTTTAACTCAAAGTTTGATTCCTTATCAATATTGCCTAATATTAATTACTGGTTCATTAATGAGTTGATAAGTAACTACCATGATTTAATTGAAAAATAAAAGCCTAAAGGGCCAGTTAATAAAAGTAAAAAATATGCAGGCTATACCGAACTAGATTTGTTATGTAAAGGATACTTGTCTTATTGAGACACAATGATTTTACCCGTGATTCATTTTTCTAAATTAGGGCTTATTTCAAATGCATGATGGAACTCAAGAGCTATCTATTGCTTGAAATATATGCTTTTGAATCAGACAAAAAAAGAATTAATAATGAAGGCATGCAATTTTATTGTAGATCACTGGGCTAAGCCATGGCTCACTTGCAGAAGAAATGTTGACGATATAACAAAGTTAATATTGACTTTAAAAGGTAATTGCTTGAAGTGTTTGGAAAGACACTGTAATATTTGGAACTGTTGCCCAATAGATATTGATAACACAAATGAAGTGTGCAAAAGGTCTCTTGCGAAAGTTAAATTTCTTCTTCAAAGAAACGTCATCAACTTAGAGGCCAAATTTCTGAGACACTGTAATAAACTTTAATCTGCCTATGCGTGTTATTGTAACAAAATAATTTATTGTTTGAACTATATTTACTTCCATGATACAGTTTTCAAAGACTTATAATTAAAAATTTAGAACTCAACAAACATTATCTTTACCCCAAGTTATATAAATTTTTATGCGTAGTTTGTAAACATGGAGGCTAGCCACGGTAGACAATTTGCAGGACCTGCGAATTTGGGGGCGTTATTTAAATTTAGGGGTCCTTTTCCAAATATAAGGATTTTTTTTAGTAATACACTTAGTAATGAAAGGTTTTTAAGATTTTAACGCCCTAATGACAAATTGGAGGGAAGGGGCTCTGACAGTGCTGTGGCTAGAGAGCCACAGCACTGTTTGTAATCATCCCTATGTAAATTTGTTACTTTGTTTTTTTAAAATAATATTTTAGTTTATAAAAGTCATTGCTTTTAAAAACAAGATCTGTCGCAACTTGATTTAATAACTTTTTTATCACAAATTACGTCATTTCGAAAAAATGAGTTTGCGCAGAAGGTTTTTGAATCTGTTATTGTTAAATTTATTTTTAAAATACTTTTTACAACATTTCTCTACTGGTAGTAATACGGCAAATTGATTTTAAGAAAAAAATGCAAAAAAAAACATAACACTAGGTTTAAATTTTTTTTGAATAAAAAATATTTTTAGGGGTCCCCCAAGACCCTCGAATATTTAATGGGTCCCTATTTTCAAAAAAAAATTTTTTCAAAAATATGTACACAGATTTATTTTGAGAAGAAAAAGCTTATACATGAATCATAGTCAACAGTAAATTTATCGTCAAAGTATACCTAAAACAAAATAGGACACATAAGTAACCATAAATCTTCATTAAATACAAAAGTTTAACTTACCTTAAAGGGATCCCAAACTCCCGACACATGTTGTGTTCATATTAAAGATAATGTTAGAAAAAAAAGGTTTGAACTAAGTTTTTTTGATTTAAAATAATTAATAAATGCTTACCGTAAAAAACAAATGTTGTTGTTTTTGCAGAAGCTCGCGTTCTCCATTTTTTTCAATAAATCGGAGTCTTCAAATTATGCGTCGCAATCTTTGACAATTCCTTTGAAGCACGTTTGATTCATAAAAGTTTTAGTATTTGACGTCACGGTAGACTTTTAACAAAAGAAACTCTGGAAATATTTTTATTAATTTTTTTTTTCTACTTTTAATATTTAAAAAAATATTAAAAACTTTAAATATTTTATGCTGGTTTGTTGCTATAAATTACGACTAAGCAATAAAAATAAAAAGCCCCTAAAATTATGCGATATTGTGTTGTTTATTTGATAATTGCTGTTGGTAATGTTGTTTATGTTGATTATTTTCATTAATATCAAAATAATCCCAGATTAATCTGTTAGTTGCTTTGTTCATTGTTGCTTTATTTCTAATTTAATTTTTTCTCTAAGTATAAATTTATGTTAAGAAAGAAAAGTTTTTATTTCATCGCTCGCTCTTTTTATAAGAGTAGAACAAAAGAGAAAGAAAAGTTTCGCGTAATTAAACTTCGAATGAATAAAAGAGTTGCATAGAATTTTTTTATTTTTTTTATTTTTGCGTCACTCGTTCTTTTTTTAGATGAGAGAAATAAAAGTTTAATAGTAACTTTTCTTTGAATAAATGAAAATTGGAAGAGAAAATTGCTTGAAAATTTTTATTTGTTGTGTTTTAAAATTTTTCATGTTAAGAGACAAATGCCAAATACAATACAAATTGGGAAATACCTAATATAATATGTTTTTTAATGCGCGTTATGGCATTTTGACAATTTAAATTACCATTTATCTTGAATTATTGCCATTAATTAATGTGTTAATTATTGCGTTATATAAAAATAATTTGTCCGTATTTTTGTTAAATATTAGTTGTATAAAACGGGCGAAAATATACAAACTTCATGTTTTTATTTGATGGTTATAAAATATTGAACAGTAAACTAATACTCAAAAGATCTCACAAATCCTTTCACGAATTTGCATATCTGATACTACTGTCAACTGTATTGTTTAGTGTATTTTTGAATTTTTTTTCATAACCTTAACAGGTTCTAATTGGTATGGAGTTGCCGACATTTTAAAAGTTTCATTATCAAAAATCAAATGTAAAATA